TTATGCACAAAAAAGGCTTAGCATGAGTTGGTTAGCTGGCATATGACATATAAAAGCTATTCCAATCACAAAGATGCTATTCCATTAATTTTTAGATTTTATTTGAATTATTATGGATTTAAAATGAATTAAATCAATAAAAATTAAATAAAATGGAAAAATAAATGTTTGATCTTGAATTTAATCATGGGACACGTGTGCGGCATGACAAGGCTGAATCAAGTGGAAGAAAGTGGGCCCTTTTGTCAAAAATTGAAGTTTTAAGGATAGTTGACTTTTGCAAATTCATAAAAATTTCCCAACTTCTCCAATGCATATCTTGCTCAATTTTGATCATATGAACATGTTCTTGGACAGTTTGGAAAGGTCTTGAAGTCCTCTAACCAATTCCTTTGGTGCCATGTCATTTGGATTTACCAATCTCAAGTTATGGTCTTTGACTTAAAGTGCATTTTTGTTGACTTTTGAAAATGACCTATAATGTAGAAATTGATAACTTTTTGTGAGAGAATTTCTTGGACTTAGAATGTGAATATGAGTTGTAGTAAATGTCCTCCTCTTCAAAATGAGCATTTGATGGGATCTTTCTGATGAACCATGAAAAAGTTATGCCTTGGTCAAATTACAGTTGACTTTTCTACTGTCCCAAAATAGCAACTTTTGCATCTTGATGATTTTTGAGCCATGCTTGTGGAATCATGATCAAGACTTGATAAAATGATGATTGTGAACTCAAAATAATATGTTGACCAAAAATTCTGACTTTTGCCTGCAAAATGACCATTTTACCCCTGCAGTTGATTGTGAACCAAATAGGGCTTTTGATTGTGCAATTTGATGCTGTGAGACTTGAGACTTGACATGTAGATGCTTGGCAATGTATATAAGCCTATGGGACTTGATTGAGCCATTGAAAATCTCAAATTCCATGAAAGAACCAGAACCCTAATTTTGGCTGCCTTAGGAGGTGGTTTGACTATGCAATCCCTTGAGTGGTCTTGAACCATTTGAGGATGATTCTTGACAAATCTTGAAGAATATGGGAGGGAAAATTTTGGGGTACAACAGATGCGACCAGTTGGCCCCATGTAGTCTTTAGAATCACGAGATTGTCCTCCCTTTTCTTTTCTCATTCTTGACGGGACGTCGAGAGCTCATCATTATTTGAAACTTTTACATTCTCACGATGCCGAGAGTCTCTCGCGTTGTTAGCCGCCTCTTTCTACTCGTACTGGATGTACGCCTATGCTTTGAGCATAATAGAATCCAGCGTTATAGGAGTCTCTATACCAACCACTTTGGTGAAGTCACTGCAAGGGCACATGCCTTGCTCGAGGAGATATTTTTCCATTTCATCCGTCGTGGAGACTTGGACGGCTTCCTGGTTGAACCTTTCAATGTATACTCAGAGGGACTCATCCTTCCCCTGGATGATGGCCTCGAGCACATCTTTTGACTTGGGATATTCGCGAGATGCCGTGAAATGTCTTGAGAATTGTTTCCCCAAGCCCTTTCAAGAGGTAATGGATTCGTTATGAAGGCTTTTATACCAAGTCATGGCTCCTTTCTTGAGTGTTGTTGGGAAGAGTATACATTTGATTGCTCCTTGACAACCTCTGTAGTCGAGCAGCGCATCTATGTTTTCGATGTGCTCGTCCGGATTTGTCGTGCCATCATACATCCCAAGTGTGAGGGTTTCTCAAGACCGATAGGAAGAGGGGTTTCCATGATCTCTCTAGATAATATGCGCATAGCTCGTTGTCATCGCTGTGATCAAGAGACGCTGGCTGGGAGTAATTGTTTTTTTCTCGTCGAGGGCTGTCGTCCCGTCGAGGAGAAATGCTCCTTGGATGTTGTCTTAGCCTAGGTGACGGAGAACAGTCACGATCAAGTCGCTGGTCGTTCTTTGTTTTCTTGGAGATCGGGGAGCGTTGATCTCTATAGGGAGGTGTGCGACCTCGTTTCTTGAGGAAAGACACCTCTTGCCTCTCTCGTACGGGAAGACGATTGCGCCTCGATGGTGATGGATTGTGGGAGTCATAACGCTGGTGTCTCTGAGGTGGAGACTTTGACTACTTTTTCTCCCAGGCCTTAATCCTCTTGCTCTACTGCAGGATTAAGACGTTGGTTTGATTAAGGGCAACGAGCAGCGCTGCCATGGTCGGGTCGACATTTGGTAGAATAGGAACTGGCTGGGGGATTTCTGACAGCTCTTCGTTGGGGTTCTTGGACCTTTGGTCGTCCAAGAATTGGAGGTTGTCGCGTTCAAGATCGACTGAATCTGGGGACGTTGTTCGACCATCTCTAACGTCGGGGGCATCCTCGAGATGAGGATGTTCGTGGCTTTCGTCAGTCTTGTGGACGGGAGAGAGTATAGTTTTTCCAAAAAGGTGGTGGTCATCATTGTCGTCCATGACAGAAGTAGTGAAAGTACCTTTGGTCTTCGGTTTTGAGGAAAAGGAAGACGGGAAAGATAGTTTCCCGCAGAAGGCGCCATTGATGTTACCGGTTGATCAGAAATTGAAGTGGGCTGAGATGATAACATCTGCTTGGCTGGAAATATGAGGAGATGAGGAGGGTGTACCTGCAAGGCACTCTGACGATCTATTGAAAAAAGTGCAATGAGATACAAGAAAGAGGTAATTGCTAGGACCGGTCAAAACGGATAGTCATGCCCATAACTAGTCGTTGCTTCGAGCAAGAGTGAGATGACGAGCAGATGCATTATGAGCGCCTTTCTGGTTGTGTGCTCGACATGTGGCGAACAGACCTGAAGACAGATGACGATGTGGGCAAACGGGTGGTCAGGACACTACCACCCTTGGTATTCTAGTGGTATGGTCGACCGAGCGTGCTCGATCGAGGACTAAAGTTAGTGGGTCAAAGTTGTTTGGGCCATGTTGAAGGTGGAAGCATATTAGACCAATTCTAATCGTTGAGGCAGTCCAAAACAGTATTTGTGTAGGAGGTAATTCTACACTTATTATATTTTTATGGGAAAATAGTAACAACCACACTTAAATAGTTTATCTAAGTTTTCTCCTAATTTAAAAGGTGAACATTATGGTATCTTCGTCCAATTAAACAATCACAATTAAACAATCACATTCAATATGATGTCACTTTTTATATTTTTTTATTTAAAAATAAATTAATATCTTAAATGAATTTCTATTTAAGATATCGATACCCAATTACTTATCATGGGTACCTAAAAATTTGAAAATTAAAAAATATTAGACTTTGTTATTGACATGACAAACCATAAATTTTTAAATCAATACAAATGAGACAACTAAAATTACCTAAAAGTGTTCACGATGCGGTTTTATCGATTTTAAGAATAAAAATCATTCGAACCGCAAGAGAAAAAAGGGTGTGATTCGATTTAATTTGATTGATTTTTAAAAATAAAACGGAATCAAATCAAATCAAACTAATACAATTTGGATTGATTCAGTTGATTTGATTTTAAAAAAAAATTATTGAACGATACAACAACAACATATAAGATGTGACTGGAATAACATGAAGAGGAAAGAGAGAAATAGGAACGAGAGGTCTTGAGGAGAGAGATAACATTTCTTCTGGGGCATATCAATGAAATTGGTGGGAGAGAAATAAATAGCATGGGACCACACTTTTTCTCTTCACTTCAAAACGGTGAAGAAAGATCGAAGAATGCATTAATATACTATTGTTTTCACTTTTATCCCTTTACTTCAATTTAAATGTGGTATAAATGATTTTGTGTTGTATTAATTTAGTAAAATAAAAAACAAACTAATATTTAAATGCAATTTTTTAGAGAAAAAATATATTATTATATTTATTTAATTAATCACTAAAATATAAAATTAAGTTAATTAAGATAATAAATAAATTATAATTATATATTATTAATGATTTTATCTTTTTAAAAATCCGCTCTCTTATATTTCTCTTAAATAAAATAATATAACAAATCTATTATATTTCTTATTGATTTTTCTTTTCTTACACTCTACTCTATTTCACCTTATTTTTTTTCCCTCAATTTTTACTATGAACCAAACAAATTCATATAGAGAAAAATAATTTTATATTTAATCATTCACACATTACCATAAAATAAATTTATAATTTAATAAATCAAACTGTGTCTTATAATTTTATCTTAGATCTAAAAAATAATATATATAAGATTACATTCTTAAATAAATATCATTAAAAAATATAATAAAATATATAAATAAATATCATTAAAAAATATAGTAAAATATATTTTGTCAAAATAATATTTATAAATGAACAATATTTTGTCTTTTTGTTGATATGTAAATTAAAATAAATATCATATAAAAAATATTATAAAGTATTTAAATATCAAACTCTTGTAAAATATTATTAAGTATTATATATTTCAATTCTTTAGAGAAATTAATAAATTAAGTATTAAAATAAATGGTTGTAAAATATTATTAAGTATTATAATATTTATTAATTTCTCTAAAGAATTGAAATATATAATACTTAATAATATTTTACAAGAGTTTGATATTTATAAATTATAAATTATATAAATTATATAATTTGATTTGATTGACGTTTTCTATTAAGTTTATTCGGTTTTGAATTCTCGTTAAATTACCCAACCATTTTTTGTAGGATAATGAAGTTGTTCCCTTTTATTAACACTTAAATTTTTTTGCAACTGAACTTTGAAATAGTGAAATTTCCACGACAAGGAAGAAACTTGAAATTTGCATAGTCCCCTCCTTAACCCCGATCTGATGCTGTGATCCTTTACGAGTTCTTCATCAATCAGATAATCGCAGATCGAAGTAGCAGCTTCTTCTTTGTCTATTTCTTGGTTCTTCGTTACAGTGTTCCTTTCAGATTCAGAGATATAGGTAGTGAATCTGAACCTTGTTTTGTTTATGTCTACTCAAATAAATGCTGAAATCCATTAAACTCGCTCTTCTGATAAGAAGGTTAATTCCTATTAGATTGTTGTTCTAATGGAAGTTCCCAAACCCCCTTCCAAAGATAAACGATTCAGAACCAAACATAAATTGTTGTTTAAAATCGGTGCTGTCATTTTCATCCTTATTCTCTTGTTTCTGGGTTTTTATCTCGAGTCTTATAGCTGGAAACCCAATGCGTCGTCGTATTACACTGTTGTTATAGACTGTGGAAGCACAGGGACACGGGTTAATGTATATGAATGGATGTTAGGGAGTGTCGTAGGTAATAGAAATTTGCCGGTTTTGCTACATTCATATCCTGATAGTAATGCAACAAATGGAAATAGTTTGCTTTGGAAAACCTCTTGTCAATATCATTGTATGCAAACCCAACCCGGGTTAGATAAATTGGTTAATGATTCTTTAGGTGTGAGACAAGCTTTGACGCCTTTGATTGTTTGGGCGGAAAGTTTAGTTCCTCGAGAAATGCACGGCGATACACCGATTTTTGTTCTGGCTACTGCTGGACTGAGGAGGCTTCAGAGGGAGGATGCATTTTGGGTTTTGGAGGATGTTGAGGCTGTTGTGAAAGATCACTCTTTTATGTTTGATAAGAGCTGGATTAGGGTTTTGAGTGGGAGGGAGGAAGCTTATTATGGTTGGGTGGCTTTGAATTACAAAATGAGTAGCTTTGATGATGGGTCTACTTTGGGACTTGTTGATTTGGGTGGCTCGTCGTTGCAGATTGTGGTGGAGATTGATCGCGCTACTGGGGATGATGTGAACACGATGAGATCGGAGTTTGGATCAGTTGAACATAGGATTGTGGCGTATTCGTTGCCTGCATTTGGGTTAAATGAAGCCTTTGATAGGACTGTTGTTATGCTTAGAAATAATCAGAGTGTAGAAAGAACCAGAGGTATTTCTGAACTCAGACATCCTTGTCTGATGTCTACTTTTGGACAAAATTATACCTGCTCTTATTGCTCGGGACTTGATGCCGCTGACCAAAACAATCATAGCCAACCACAAAACACTTTAAGTCTTACTGGAGAACCTGATTGGGAACAATGTAGAGAAATAGCTATTGCTGCTGCTATGAACTTGAGCGATTCCCAAGTGTCACATCAAGCAGTTGGTTCAAATTGCCAAGCAAGTTTGTTTTCTGGTATTGGTAAATGAATAATCATTTATTTTGTGTCTGGTGGCTTACTGGCTATATCTATCTTTCTTTATTTTTATGCATTAGCACTGACATAGTCACAGTACTGGCATGTAGACACCAATAATAATTTAAGAAAATTGAAGTTATTGAATGTAATCATTCATATCGGTGTTTGACCCTGATATGTGTTGGACACCAAAGACGTTTTCAATTTGAAGTGTCAGTGTTACATATGTCTATCTATAATTACTTTCATTTTCTCCTCAACATCTGATCCAATCTCCAAAACTCTCCTTCGAAAAATCATCAAAGGTGGCATTTGTTTCAGGTTTGGCAAATGCATTCCTTGGAATCACATTACCTTGAATATTCTGATGAGAATGCTATTCCAAGGAATTTTAATTAAAGTATGACTGATAATATAACATTCTTATGATTTTTAATAAAAATTGCATATGGAGGAAGTTATTGGCATAAAAAGAGAACTTCACACAATGTTATTTCGATGTTATAGGAATCTACTTTCCCACAGCCTCTCTTATTTTGTACCTGGGAATACAATTTTCAACCTTCTTCTGGTAACATGTTTAGATTACTTGAAACAAGAGTCCCAAAAAGTAAAAAATAAAAACACTGACAAGCAACAAGGAAACTTCAACCCACACCTTGTCTATGAAAATTTGATGCTAAAAATATTAAACTCTCAAACATTGATAATGTGAAACTATTACTTCTGAGTTCCGATGATTAGTAGCATGTAGTTCACTTTGTCTTTATTGCACACGTGCCTTTCACACAACTCAACCTCGTGGGCTGTCAAAAGAACATGGAATAACGAGAGCTTAGGGTTGTAAGTTTATTCACCAATTCTTACTCTGTTTCATAATATATCTTGCAGGCACTGATGCACTTAACTTAACAGCTGTTGCTCACCCAATGAAGCGATTTCATGCATTATCTGGTTTCTTTTTTGTCTACAATAAGCTAAATTTGAGCCCAAGAGCCAATTTAACAATGATTTGGGAGTCAGGCAAGCAAATATGTTCAAATTTATGGGCTGGCTTGAGCAATATATCTGACAATCCAAATTATGCTGGACAGTTTTGTTTCCAGGTGGCTTATATGGCGTCATTGATCGAGTTTGGTCTCTGTCTTGGTGATGTAGAAATGGAATTTGGTCCAGGTGATGTTTCCTGGACATTAGGAGCTGCATTGGTTGAAGGGAAATTTCAATGGTTAAATATTGCAAGCCACAAATCCCAAACTATAATTTCTTCTTTGAAGAATGTGAACGTCATGACTTCTTCAACTTGTCTTTTCGCTGTCCTTTTGTTGCTTTTATTGATTGTTTATTGTACTCAAATTAAGCTACCTATGCCAAGCAGAAGGGCTTCGCACTAACTAATATTTCAGTACTTTCTTATCTTTGCTTTGCCACCAAATGGACATTCTATCAAAATATACAACTTTTTTTGCTTCTCCTTTACTTATTTTAGATGTGCGAATCTCCAATTGAACGCCTATGCCCAAACATACACAGAAAGAAAGATATTATGTTTGGATTAACATGGTGTTATTATAGACACAAGTCGATGCATCAAATTCACATAAGTGTTTCATAATAGATATTAAAAACATAAACATATGAAGAGAACATGAATGATCAATATACTGCAACACCAACTGAGTTAGATCCCAATTCAGGAGCATGAACATCCACCCAAACCTCATTCCTCCGCTTAGCAATCCGAAAAGGAGAATTATACTGCGCAATGGAGTAACCGCGTCCACTCTTGAACTCCCCCCACGGCGACCTACTCAAACTCGAATCCAGCTTCTCCGCCTCTTTAACAATCCTCTCATCCTTCGCAAATCCAGAGAATCTTCTCACAGCAACGCAGTGTCCATCGAAATCATAGGGTTTTATATCGAGTTCCGGAAGTGGAAGCGGCGGATCCGCTTGAAATTTCAGCGGCAAATAGAAACTAACATAGTAGCCTTGTGACTCGAGAGGACCAGCACCGGGTACCATGGTTGTTAATACCGGAGCGGTCATCGGAATTCGAGAGAAGTTGAGATTTGCGCCTTGTATGAACTGGAAGAGTCTGTGGAAGCCGTTCCATGTGGCTTTCTCGAAGGAGATGGTGTTTAGGACGGGAGCGGACATCCAGACGGAGGTTTGGTAGAGTCTGATCTCGAAATCGGACTCGGTGTGAACGACTGTGTATGGTGGCGATTCGTTTGTGGCAGTTGTGCTGCAAATCGTAGCCATAACAAAATACATCGCCGCAATCCATGATTTTTTCATTTTACTCTCTCTCTGCTCTTTATCGTCTTGCCTTGTGGTTTGCTTTGGTTTCAATTATGCCATCCACCACACTGCTTGCGTACTTTTTGAAGGCCAAACTTTCAAAACATTTTGTCGCTTAGCGACCTGTGACTTTTTCTATTTTACCAAAACAGACCATCAAGTATATAAACATTTCTCAATCTATATAAACTTCCTAAATTTCTAAATTTCTATTTCATTGCAAATTCTTTACATTACAAAATGACATTTTTAATAATAATGTTCATATTTTTCATTCTTGTATTCTATTACAGTATGATATATAGCATTTATTTTTCTAATTTCACCAATAAAATCACAATTAAATATTATCTATATTTATTCTCTCTCTTGATTAAATTTTTAAATTTCTCTCACATTCTTTTTTCCACACTTTTTCACTTTTATTTCATTTATTTATTTATTTATCATCATTGAAAATAATAATAATAATTTATTTTTTTATTTTAATAAAATTAAAAATTTATTTATTTTACGGGTATTTATCAAATAATATCTATTTATTTTAATCAATCATTGTGTTAATTTAAAAGACAAAATCTTTATTTTTAAAAATTATTTTCTTTCTCTATCTCACAATTTTTTATGATTATTTAATACAATTAAATTTATATGATTATTATTCATTTTACAATTAAAGAAATAGATTAATTAGAATATACTGACAGTGTATAATTATTTTATACGATCATCCCATTATAATTAATTATTTTGACACATAACTATGAAATTAAAAATAAAATAAAAAAATTATAATTAAATCATTTTAATAACTATTTCTTCCATGTTTCTCTCTCTTCTCCTCTGTCAAAATAGTGAGTTTTAATTGAATATCGTGTTAAGTATTCAATTAAAATTTTGTATTTGTATCTAAATATATTTTATATCCCATTAAATAATTTTTTTATCTCACGGATCATTATCAACACAATGTCTATTTTTTTTTAATTAACAATTACCTTTATTTGAAAGAGAATTTTTATTCTCAAATGTTAAACTTTGATTTTTTTTCTCCATCTCTCATGTTCTTTTTTTATATGATTATTTAATACAATTGAATTTATAGGATCATTGTTCATTTATAATTAACCCGTTCATTTCAAATTTACATACGTCTAAATATATTTTATACTATATCTAGGAGTGGAAATAGGCTAGACTAGGCTAGGCTTTAGAAGGCTTGAGTCTCACCTATGACCTATTATAGGTTTTTTTGCATGGCATGGTCTTTTTAAAAGTCTAGCTTGACCTGAAAGCCTATTTAAAAGCTCATTTCTCATTAAAACTTTCAATTAGGAAATTCCTTTTTTTATCCTATAGTGTAAAGAAATACCCTATGCATTTCCAAAAATACCCCTCAGAAATAGGAAATATATTTCAGGTGCACCCACACACATAATTCATTTGTTTTTGAGATTCACCCTATTTTTGGAAATACACTTCTAGAAATTCCCAGAAATGCACTTCCGGTTATGATATGAATGATAATAATACTTTTAATAACTTATGGTTTAATCAGTATCATTTTCATCATTTCTGCGCTAACCCTTCTTTTCTATGCAGTAGCTGACTTTCTTTTTTTAGGCCACTAAGGATAAGTCCCTCGTTGTAGGATTTCCAACCGATGAAATATCACACATAGCCACTACAAGATGTTTTTGAGTTGTCTTTGATGAATTCAGTTTTTTACTGTAAGAAAATGATACAAATTAAACCACAAGTAATGATACAAGATGTTTTTAAAAATATTATCATAACTGGAAGTGCATTTCTAGAAGTGTATTTCCAGAATATATTTTATCGTAAAAATAGTATGAATTTCAAAAATGAATGAATTATGTTTGTGTGGGTGCACATCAAAAATATATTTTCAGTTTTTAGGGATATTTTTGGAATTTCGCATGGTGCGCTAGAAAAACATAGGGTGGAAAGAGAAATCTTCTTCAAGTCTTATAGACTGACCTATATATGTATATGTTCTGGACTGGGCCCGCCCTAGCCCAAAAGCAAGAACGAAGGCCCAATCCAAGCAACTCCTCGTGGAGCGCACGTCGGAGGATTCCCGCCAGCGCGCCCGACCACAGACTGCAGTCGTGCCCGCCGTTGCCCGCGAACATGGTGTCCCCGACCACGAGAACTCCAGCTCGATCACCCTCCTCGTAGGGCAGATTCTGACCGTTACCAAATCACCTGAACTCCGGAAAGACCGCCTCTTCGTCCCTCCTCATTTCTCGCAGAGCATCACCAAGAAGGAGACCACGTGCGGGTCCCCACTACACACGTAGAACCTGGCAGTTCCTTTATTGGGTCAGTTCCGGTCGGCCCAATGAGGGGACCTTGGCCCCGCACTGGGGGCTATAAATACCCTCTGTTCCTAGAGGGTCAGGTATTCATCTCTTACGCATACATACGCTTTTTGCCTGCTCATTCCGTCACTCACTCTAGCATCAGAGTGTCTTGCAGGTACCTCCCTCATCTCACTCAAATTTCTGCTCGGAGCCAGTCGTGACGGTCCAAGTCTAATCAAGTAAGATCAGTGGTGCCGTATGTGGGAATCTAGCTTCCCCGTCTTGCAAAACCTCGAAGACCAAAGCTCAAAATCACTTCCTACCGTCATGGCTGACCAAGTTCGGGATGACCAAAACATCTGCATCGTCGACACCAACAACGGCCTCGCAGATAAAAATGGACTCCCCGACAACACCGGTAACCCCGGTCATAACACACTCCCCGGGGGCACCAACCCCGGGCCCTCAGTCCACCGCGACGGAGTTACTGCCTCATCTTCTTCAGTCCCTCCGCCACTCGAAGAAGACAACGCATCCCCCACAAGCCATCGAGATACCCAATTTCAGGAAGTCCCTGTCCCCGCTGGGGCAGATGCCACAAACCGTGCACTATTCACGGCGATCAATCAGACGAATCACCTCATCTTCGCCCAGGGGGAGAGATTGAGGGCACTAGAAGACGATCGAAGACCCGCGAGGAGACACAGGAGGCCCCAGACTCCACCTCCTCGAGTAATAGAGGTACATCTCCCGTCTCCCCCGTGGAGACAAGACAGAGACGCCTTCTGAAGCCCGTCGCCCCGACCCTCGGGGAGACGACCCCCTCTAGAGAGGCAACCAGTCATTGAGGTCGGGGGGCGCGGCCACGCACCCATACGGCAAGAAAGAAGACACTTCGGAGACAGGCATGGAAGAATTGATCAACGAGCACCACGCTCGAGAGATGCCCAGCACGACCCGGACCGTCGGGCACGACAATATTTCAGGTCCCCATCCCTGTCCCCGGAGCAAAGTGATGAGGACGACCCCCGCGGTCCCCTGTCACAAGCCATCATGGAGGCGCCCATCCCTCCGGGCATGGAGAAACCTCCACATCTGAAGGAATACGACGGAGTCGCGGACCCAGTCGACCACATGGACGGGTTCGAGGCTATGCTGCACTATCACAATTTCGGGGGACCCATCAAATGCCGGTTGTTCCCCACGACCCTCAGAAAGGCAGCAATGGATTGGTATAAAGGCCTCGCTCCGGGATCAATCACCTCGTGGCGAAACTTGAAGAACCAATTCATAAGTTCGTTCACTACGTCTCGGCGACACCCAAAGATCGAGGCAGCACTCGAGGCCATCATCCAGAGACAGGATGAAACATTGAGAGAGTTTATTAATCGCTTCAATCGCGAAGCCATACAGGTCCCCTGCGCGTACCACATGAAGAGGTACTTGCTGGAGAGGGGGCTCCTCCCCGGCACATAATTCAGAAAGGCGGTGGGCATCGAACCGCCCTGAACATTCGATGCCCTCCTCGAGAAGGCCTGGGCATATATGGATTACGAGGAAAGGGAGGCGGCCAACAGAGCCCGGGACCCCAGAACTCGTGGATCCAGCAGTAACCCGCGCCAGGATACCGCTCCTCCTCGACGAACTGGGGAGAAAAGAAAAGAGGACAGACCCCGAGAAGTCCGTGAACAAAGAGGACCCTCGGGGCGCTTCACAGAGTACACTCCGCTCACAGCTTCCCGCGAGTGCATCTTGGCGGAGTG